TGTGCACCGTGACACGGCATTGTCCACCGTTGCACAGTGCAGTATGCCGTGTCACGGTGTAAAAAGTACGCAGAAATTACACGGAATATTCCCGTGTCACGAAATGGGCACCGTGACACGGGAAATTGCCACGTGACATGATGAAAAATCCCGTGACACGGGGGAAAATTGTGCAGAATTACAAAGATGGGCACCGTGTCACGGGGGTCAGCTTTTGCCGCGTCGCTTTTTTGCTGCCGTTTTCAGTTTTTTTACCCGTTTTTAAAATAATCATAACTTTTGATCCGTAACTCGGAATAAGGCATATAATATATCATTGGAAAGCTTATCAAGACTAATTTCTAACCCAATTAGAATCAATTCAAAATAATATTTATATATTAATATATGGCCGTTTTAGTGGAAGGATGTCGGTTTTAGGCCGAGTTTGGTGTTTTGCTCATATCTTTTTCGTTATATCTCGGAATTGGGCTTATGATATATGGTTGGAAATATTATTTGAAGGCCTATCCAAAAAAATAATAATTGGATCAAAATTGTATATCCATAAAATCAGTTTCTCTCAGTTTTGCGATGTGGACACGAAAAGTGGAAAATAGGTTATGGTTTAGGGAAATGAGCTAGAAATATATTGGATAGAACATGAATTTATGCACGCCAAAGATTAAATACTCAACTCGACCAATAATGGCGTTGAAAGGTGTTCATCAACGGGTTTGGTTTTGGGGAGACATTTTTAGGTGTCTACACCTTTCTATCATCGTTATGAATTGGGGCTTGATCTCGAACTGGACTCCCTTGAGATCTGGTATAGGGGAAAGGTGTGGAAAATCCGTCAGGGACGGTTGCGAGTAATCGCTGAACTTCTTAGGTGTTTTCATCTCTGATTTTGAATCTGAAGGAACTTTTGAATCACTAGAATCAGTTGGCGGATTGCTAGGAATATCGTTACTCCCAGAACCTGCCAGGATTTGTCTATAAAGATTCTTTTGTCTATGAAAAGAGCACTCGATCTCAGGATCAAATGGAATGTAACCTGATCTGGAACACCTGGGCATAAACAAAGAACTAAAAGACAAATATGAGAATTGCCTCAAAGAACTAACGTTCTTTGAGACACAAGAAAATAATCTAGACTACAAAAACAATCAGAAATAAAAGTAAAACCGTTTCCCCGGCAACATCGCCAAATTTTGACAGGCTAAAATCGTATCACCTAATCAAAAGTAATTACCTAAGTCCTCTAACTAAAGTAGATAGGGAAGTAGGGTTGAATCCACAGGGAAACTGGTCTTTCTATTCCTAATTAACTAATTATAAGCTAAATTATTAAAGTAACCAATTGTTGTTGTAAAAAGGAATTAAACTACAGAGATCAAGTTTAGGGAGAAAATCAATAATAAGAAGGCCTAAGGTCACAAGTTCACCAATAATTAATACTCCGGGATAAAGCATAACAATCAATAATTAACATTACACAAATAACATGATTAACAGGCTCTCGCAATTTATTAATCAACATAGATCTTACAGACTCTCGCAATTTACTAGATCTAAGTTCCTATTGAAAATAGCCTTTAATATCAAATTAACATCTGCTCGATTCATCAATTCAATATTGCTAAACATTTACAATCAAATCGCATCTGCTCGATTCATAATCTAATTGCAAAGAATTAAAACAATTCAATAAAAATTATCATGCAATACCAATAATCAATAATAACAAATTATCCCTTCATATTAATTATGGATCCCCATAAACCCTAGAATTAAACTAATCAGACATAATTAAATCTACACTAAATAAATCTATTAAACAAGTCATGATAGATTAAAGAAATAAAATTGCTAAAATTAAATAAGAAGAAATCGTTACCGAAAGTGACGGAATTACAAAGTGGAATCAAGAACAAAAGTAAGAGTTTGAGAAAAATCTAGAGAGATAAAATAATCTAAGTAGAGAGAGAAAGTCTAAGAAAGAAGGTAAGTGAAAATAATAATCCTAAAACATACTTAAACAAAGACTAACAACACTCCTAATAAAAAACTAAGTGCTCGTCAACCCTTCCAGAATCACGCGCCCGTTCGGGCGAATGGCCGCCCGATCGGGTGCGCCTTTTTCTTCGTTTCCCTTATGATGCAGCTGCGCCCGATCGAGCTAATAGTTCACCCGATCGGGCGCTCTATGGCCGTGCACCAGCAGCATCACTTGCGCACCTCGCCCCACTCGCCCCCGACTCCTCCTCGAGGCTTGGACTTTGATTGGGCTTCGATTCTTCGGCGCAATCCGGATTTCCTCTTCGGTTCTTAAATACTTCGTCCAAATGCCTCGGTATTCCAAATACCGAGCCCTTAATCACCGTCTTGATAACTCTAATCGGCCTTGGGCTCCAAAGAAGGTCGTGCTCCTCTAATGTCTGTAGTCACTCCATGAAAACCCAGGAAAACGCTCCAAAAGTGCAATTTCCTACAAAACTCAACCAAAACTACGAAAACACTAGAAAAACACCAATTAGTAATAAAAGTGGCTCTAAAGAGCCAAAAACACTACTAATTATGACCAAGGGACGGGGGTAAAACACTATATAAATTAGACATATCAATTTGTCATAGAGAATTATACTTTTAAAGTTTTATTATCTCTGATAGATCGCTTACGTAATCTAACATGATTAAGGTTTTCAATTCACTACCTATCATTTAGATTTAAGCTATATGGAATGTCCATTTTGCATAAGTCAATTTCATACAATTCAAATACGTTTCCTTCGTATTCCTCTCAATTCATACAAAAAAAAATGCCCTTTTTAGCACAATCAAATAAGACCACACAATCTCTTTTTGGAAGTTGGTCAACCCTAAATAAAGTCGTTAATTAAAACGCATTTTACAAACAAAAAATCATTCTCCTCAAAGAAACTCCTATGGTATCGCTGATTTTAGTGACTTCCTCAACCTTGATAAATTGACCTCCATCTTGAAAGCAAGATTACTCAGCCTCATTCAAATGACCCTATACAGATCGACCACCCCTCCCCCCCCCAAAAAAAAAAAAAAAAAAAAAAAACTTCTTGAAACCTCGTATGAAATTTTTGACCATGTATAAATGAACGTTCGTAAGAACTTCGTAGGGTTTTGATCCGGGAGTGGATTCAAATCCCACAATGAACGGTACGTAGGGCAACTTTAATGCTCAAACCCACCATATATCGTAAAGTTTAACTCACTTTTATTTTACATTTGAATGTGATTGACAATGTGGAAACTTTCGTGTTTTTATGCATTAGTTTAAGGAAAAGTGTGTGAATAACCACAACCAATTAACAACGTACTATTAAGAGCCTGTTCGTTAAAAAAAAGGAAGAGACGAGTTCCAAATGTTCGATCTTCCTAACTTATACCCCATACCTAGATCTCTAATTTTCCTAAGACTACACTTATATAGTGCCTGACCTAATGGAGTCAATGTCGTTTTCTATTTGAAAGAGATCATAAAGAAAAGACAGTTTCTATTCGGGCAAAAATAGAGTGGCAACTCTAATTCCTTTTTTAGTCAAATTATCGACATATGTGGGATTTTTAATTCTAATCTTAATTAGTCAAAAAATGGGTACCACAATATGATATCTATTATCTACTAGAGAAGAACTAGGCCCCAGTAGAACACTGCTTATCAACTGCTTTTTTAGAAGGAAGATCAATAGGATCATCAAATACCACCATGCACTAGTAGAAAAATGCAAATGCCCACCAATTCAAAATCCCCCTTATGCCACCGGTTTTAAACCGTTGGGCATTTGAGGGGTGGCAATACTCTACTAAAAAGCCACCGGTTCAAAATCGGTGGCAAAAACAAGTATTCCTTGCCACCACCAACACTACCAACACCGGTGGCAATATCACTTCGCGCTTTTTTTTGGTATTAATTATTTTTGCCACCGTTAACGATGCAATAAATATATATATATATATATATATATATATATATATATATATATATATATATATATATATATATATATATATATATAGTTTTCTTTTTTCACTTGAAGCATAATCAGTAGTTAATATGAGTTCAATTTTTTTTTATTTGCTTTTTTCTTTTGAAATATAAGTAACACAACATCAAAATCAACTGAACTTGAAAATAAAAAATATAATCAGAAATATATTTATCATTATATTGTTATTGTACAATACCAAAAAAAAAAAAAAAATACAACATCAAAATAAATAAAATAATAATAAAAAATACAACATCAAAATCAAAAAGGAAAAAATTGAAATAAATAATCCTACCTTTCGTCGATCTGCTCAAAACGATCTAATCTTTGCATATTCTGGGAACGAGTCCACCTTTGCCCTCTATTTTCTCAAAGTGAGCCTTTTTACTTATGACCTATTGAACGGTTATTTATTTTTTTCTCTTTTTTAAAAAAAATCTTTCTCCTCCACCTCACCACCCTCTTCCCACCTGCATTCCTTGCCACCACCAACACTACCATCCCCGCTCCTCACACCACTCCTCACCACAACCAAAGCCACCGCACCACCTTCTCAGCAACAATACAGTACACCACCAAATAACAGCATCGACCACACTACTACAAAAAATGGAATAGAAAACGGTTGAATTAGGCCTTATAGAACACCTCAGAGGCGTTCTTCTGCTAAGCGATGTGTAAAGTTTACAGAACGGGTCTAAGAACGTTCTATATATAAGGGAAAAGAGAACGGGTACAAGAGGCATTCTATATGCAAAAAATAGTCGTTCTCTTTCTTGTTTTATATGCTTATAAAAAATGAATAAAAGAGAACGGTTAGCAAAGATAACAATTCTCTTTGTTGTTTTTTTAAAAAAATAAATAAAATAATAATAATATTGCGTCATGGAAATTGCATATATACTAAAATATTTTTTTTTGAGGGCATATACTACAGTATTTCGTAAACTGCATCATCAATCAATAAACAAAATTGAATTGCAATTGTAAAAGTGAGTCAGATGCCAAATTAATTAAAAAAAAACTTTATTGTAATTACATTTTGATACAATTCTCTAACCTAACTTAATAATTATTAATGTGTTTACAACTTCAGAAGAACACCTAACTTGATTTTCCCTGAAATTCGAAACCACCTAATAATCTAATTCAACCGCAGCGGCACTTCCAGTCTTCCACTCTTCCACCAACATGAACCACCGGCAACACTTCAACACCAACTTGAACGACACTTCAACACCAACCTGAACCACCGCAGCGCTTCCACCAAGCTCAACCACCGCAGGGCCTCCAGTGATAGTGCACGCAAATAGAGAAGTCACAACAAGCACCCATAAATCAAAGATGAAAAATCAGAATTTAATCCAAATCATTACATAAAAATCAATTGATAAAAGTTATAGATCTAAAATTAATAATTGAGAATTAAACAAGCTACCTCCATAATGTTAAACACCAATCAACCCGCAACAACTTATGACCATATATAGAGCAAAACAGATATTCAATGGCTTAATCTTTCGCATTAATTGTATCAGAGTTGGGGTAAGGCCGCTAGTTGTAAACAGAGGAAGAAGACGACGAATTTCCGCACACCGCAACTTTGTAACATTGAGAATATTGATCTTTTGCACACCGCATATTTTGTAACATCAGTGACGATGCTCGAAGTTTAATCGGGCTTTAGCTTGGAGTTTTTAGAACATTAAGGGATGAAGGTAGAAGAGAAAGGAGTTAGAGTCTCATAGGAGGAAATAAGTGAGAGAAGAGGAAAAGAAGAGGGGAAGTTATGAAGGAATGAGTGTATGACGGCTATCTTAAGAGGAAAGAGGAGTTTGGGTTAGAATTTTGGGCCTTTTGGTATGTTAGATTTTTTTTAAAATAAATAAAAAATAATAATGTTAAACATATAGAACGAACTGTTAAATAGGAGGTCTATATTGTGAGTAAAATTTTTTATATATGAAATAGAACGATTAAATAAGAAATGCGTTCTATATAATAAAATCATAATTTAATAAAAATAATAAAATAAATCTTATCGAATTGTTAACTTAGATAGGCGTTCTATACAATCCTAGAGATCGCCTATCTAAGTTAACCGTTTTATATCTTGCGTTTTTTATTCTAGTTTTTGGTGTAGTGCCACCACTGTCAGTTTTCATCTCCAACCACCATCAACCTCAATTAATCACAACACCCTAAAATAGAGGAGCCACCCTAAACCAACCCTTGCTCGACCACCTTAAACCAAGCACCCCCACCCTTGAAACATCCCTAAAACCTAAACCCCCCATTACCGAAACCATCCTCACTAGCATTGCGCCCCACCCTATTGAAATCACTAAGCCATTAACGCATCACTTGACTTCCTATGGTTATTAAACGACGCCAGAAATTCATCCCTATTTTGATGGTTTAATTGCTTCCTAGCAAAATAGTTGTTGTGATTTTAATGGTATTTGTTGCGGCTTCTAGCCTGCTAGGTGCGGTGGTTGGAGGTCGGTGTGGGGCTGCTGGTTGTGGTCGAGGCTTAGTGATTGTTGGGGTTGTATGGCTTTGGTGATTTCTAGTGGTGCTTGGTGGCAAGCTGTTGCTAGATGCGTGGTGATCTGATGGGCGGCTGCTAGAAGCGGTGGTCGATGTGGGGCTTCTGGTTATGGTTAATTGGTCAAGGCTCGGTGGTTGTGCGGCTTTGTTGATTGCTGGTGATGGGTCGGTCGGCGGGAAAGGGGTAGCTATGGTGGTGGTGGGGGCTGAGCAGGAGGAAGGAGATAGCTTTTTTTTTAATTATTTAAGCTATTAACCAATTAGAAGGTGACAAAACCGGTTACCAAATTATAAAACCAGTCAAAGGCTTGTTTTGAGAAAATAGGGGGCAAAGGTTGGCTTGTTCCCAGAATACTCAAAGGTTGGCTTGTTTTGAGCATGTTGAGCAAAGGTGGGATTATTCTTTTCAATTTTTCCAATCAAAAACTACAACATCAAAATCTTGATTCTTTTATGTGGAGTCATAAACTAATACCTGCATCAATTAAAACACCAAAATTAATTAATCTCACAATATGCATGCGAAAAAAAATAATAAAAAAAAAACACAAGAAACTCATGCAAGCTTCGAAATCAATAAACCCGGAAAAATAAAGAAATTTTAAAAGTGCATGTGGTATCTAATTACTATGAGATCTGGAAGACAAAGAAAGGTGACCGAAAAATAAAAAAATGGTGTTTTAATAATTGAACCACCAAATTAACCCACAACCACCAGCAACCAAATTAAACCACAACCACCAGCGCACAACCAAATTCAAGCAACAATTTCGAAATTACAGATCTAACATGAATAAGTGAACCAAAACGCAAAGCTAACCCAGAAACACTAACCTCAAACCTCCGAATTCCACCAAAAATCTCAAAAAACAAAATAAGAGTGAGAAAAAAAAAATAGAACTTACCTAGAATTCCACCAAAAACCCCCGAAATTAGCTTGAATTTGGGTTAAAAGGTCGAATTTGACCATGAAAACTCCAGATCTCTGGAGTTTTTATGGTCGAATTTGACCTGAAAACCTTTAATTTCATCACGAGGGGAGAGAAAGTGCAAAAAAATGAGGAAATTGTTGTTGATGTCGAAATTTGTGGTGGTGATTTTGCGGTGGTGGTGGTATCTTTGCAGCGGTGGTGTTGTTGTTGTTGCGGATATGAAAGAAGATCGAAAAGAGAGATCGAAGAGAGAAAAAAGGAGAGAGGAGATCGAAAAGAGAGATCGAAAAAGAGAGAGATCAGAAGAGAGAGAGATCGAAGAGAGAATATCGAAGGGAGAGAGGAGTCAGACGAGAGGAGAGAGAAGGGAGAGGAGGAATGAAGGAGGCGGGGAGAAAAGGAGGTTAGGGTTATGGGTTATAAAGGGGGGCTTTTGTTTTTTTTTTTTTAACTTTTGCCACCGGTTCAAAACCGGTGGGATTAATATTTTTCCCACCGGTTCGGTTTGAACCGATGGCAATACTCTTCCCTTAAAATCCCGCTTATTTTCCCCATTTTTTTTCCACCGGTTTTTAAAAACCGGTGGCTATTGCTAGGATTGGTGCCAATTACCATTTTTCTACTAGTGTTAGAACTTTTCTTTTAGCAACATCAACTGCTTATTTGAACACTGATCTTGTTTAGTCTGCAAACACTCCATTCCCTGATTCATGGATCTGTCCACCACTTATAATAAACACTAAGCAGCAGATTCTAAGATTTTACCTGGTATGCCATCCTTAATAGCTTTCACGTTCTTTGGTGGAATACCGTGCAAAGTATAGAGATTCCCATCCAAGACAAAATTTATATATAGCTTCTTAAAATCCCAAGTTATTTTGTCCCAGCAGAGTAGTTAGCCATTGAATTCTAAGTACCATATCACAACTTCCCAAAGCTATAAAATTACCTCTGAAAACTCGACTTTATTCATGACCCACTTGAACTCACTACACTTATGCTGACACACCAGATGGTTACCACCTGCCACTGTCACAACTTTCTAACTGACATCTCAGGTTTTTAGCTAGTTCCAACTCCATAAAGTTATGGTACTCCCTGAGTCAAGCAAAATATGTAAAGGTTTTCCTCCCACGCACCATCCCTACTACTCTCATGTTATGGAAATTTTAGTTACTAGAGAGTGCATTCACATAGTTACAAGGTTCAGTTCACTATATCTCATCTATAGCATCAATAACGATACAAAGGACCCTTAACTCAAAGATTCATCATGTAACCTAGCAAATTAAACAACTTGGGAAATGGTAGCAGGCTTGAAAGCTTTTCAAATGGCTTAACACAGGGTTTAGGACCACTTATAAAACTATCAAGAACATACTTATTAGACCAATACATGACTACCCATCAACATAGAACTTGCACTCTCAAAGTTATCTATGTAATCCTCTAATGAACCATCTTATTGCAGCTTACTAAACTGTTCAACAACATTTAAGTTATTTTCTTTAAATCTAGCGTTTGGATCAGTCACAAACTCATTCCAATCAATCACCATAGTTCTCCTATCATACAAGTAATTCATTACCCATGTTTAAGCTTTGTTAATCATATTCAATGAAGCCAAATCGATCAACCCATTGTTTCGATATGAATTTTACACAAACTGAAATACTTGAAGCATTTTCTTTTACCCAAATTGATTCATTACTACTATCAAACTTAGGAACTTTAATTTTAGGGTTCATGCTTAAAGGCCTGCTCATATTGTTTCTATCTAATATTTATAGAATTTGAACTCTTGGACAAAGATGATGAGGATGAACTAGGACTATCCTCCTAAATAAGCTAGACTTTATGCATTTGGCTTGTTGTACAACGAATAGTTTAATCAATTCATTGAACTTCCCATCAATTTTCCCAAATTTCTCATCCATTCTTTTTGGAAAATTCTACATTCCAAAGTCTCTGGGCGTTCATCCGGTTCTCCAAATTCTTAATCCGTTGTTCCATATCTCCCCTTGTAATACCCCTCACGATTGCTGTAAAGAAACTTAGGGGCCGTTTGGTTGGGGGTAATCAGTAAAGAGAATGGGAATCAACTGACTTGTTTCCCTTTGTTGATGTTTGTTTTACACTTTTAATCATTCCCTTTACCCTCCTCATTACCCCAAATCCTTCCAACTCCATTCCCTACCCCCCCTAGAATTTCCCATTCCCTTTCCCTACCCACCTTCACACCATCACATCACCACCTTCACACCTACCAACACCATCGGAAAACCAGCCCAGACCACCGCCGCCCCTACCCTGACCACCGCCACCCTTCCCCTGAGCCTCGCCGCCCTCCCCTCCCCGAAAACACTGCCCTTAGCACCGCAAAACCCGATCTCCCTTGACCCTTAGCCCCGCAAAATCCGATCTCCCTTGACCCCGAGCAAAACCCATCTCCCTCGGCGGCAGACTTGACGGAAACGAATTACAAAGGAACGAAAAATGGATGAGATCAGAATCGACTTCTGTTGCTGTTAGCATCGTTCCCGCCGTTGAATCCACCAAATCTCCTCCACCCAATGCCGCCCAGCCACCTTTGTAATGGTGGGAGGGTTGGGCGGCGGTTTTCGGGGTCTAGGGAGATCGGGGTGGTATTTTGAGGGGCGGGAGTGATGGTAAACAGCAGCAGAAGAAGAAGCAACGATGGTAAACAGCGATCGGGTTTTGCGGGGCTAGGGGTGGTGTTTTCGGGGAGGGGAGGGCGGCGAGGCTCGGGGGAGGGTCAGCGATGGTCAGGGGAGGGCGGCGGTGGTCAGGGTAGGTTTTCGATGGTGTTGGTAGGGATGAAGGTAGTGATGTGGTGGTGTGAAGGTGGTTGGACTGGTGGCCTTTAATTCATTCCATTCCTTTGTTATTTAAAACAAACAACACCCCAAAATTAGGGGATTTACATTCCATTCCTTGTCTTTCCCTTTGTTCATTCCATTCCGATTCCCCCGTGCGAACCAAACGGCCCCTTAATATACTACTCATACCAACATGCATCTTTCTTTATAAGAGCTCATACACTAAGAATACTTTTCAGTTAAGCGTGCTTGGCTGGGAGTAATCTTGGCTAGGAGTAGTCGGGTGCCAATTTGGGTCCTTTTCATTGTGATGTTGGGTCAAATTCACTGTCCTCAGGTGCAGGCTCAAATTATGGTCTTAGAATACCAAGTTCGGTCATTGTCGATTAATATCCGGTCAAATTCGATTCAGGTTACAAATCACTAAATTTACCACTATTTGGGTATAGGTCAAGTGTGTATCTATATCAAATTTAGATTTGGCTCTCAAGTTTTTATTTATTTGCAACACACCATATTGGTACGCACTTTAAGAAAGACATCAGACTAGATAAATGGACAATTTAATTTACAACATTT